TGAGTCCTGTCGTCAGCATTCTGTGGCCTTAAACGCGTTTAAACACGCCTTTGCATCGCCACAGTCAGGGGACCCGACTTCACCTTAAAGCAGACTGAAATTAACGCTTGCCAGTGGTACAAGCAGAGGACAAGGCATTTTCTTGTCAAAACAAATCTCACGCGGCTTTTAACTCGCCCAAAACAGTCGCCGTCGTGCCTTAGAGATTCACTGGCGGAGCACTACCACTCTGCAGAATGCAATCTGAACAAAATGCCGGCTACTCGTCGACTGCCATGGGAAAATTGATCTATATCACGTCTGCCTGCAAAGGACTTGATCTAGTTATGTCCCTGTGAACGTTTTCCAGGTGATATTTCGAAGAAGGCGCAAGCTACTAGGGCTTGGCCAGAAAAGAGGGAGAGAGATGGGGTGGCCATCGCTGAGATCGGTGGAACCCTAGTTTAGGTCCTAGAAACAGTTTTAATAATCAAATGTCACGCGCTATAAATAAACACAGAAAATTAATTTTATTTATTACTTACTTAGAGTTCATTGGATGTGACAAAGTTGGACTTTTTTTACTTCATTTTACTTGAGGGCTTATTCGGTTTTTCGACATTCCCGAAAAAGTGTTGGTGATTGGGAGGTCGTCTACCTCAAATTACCTGCGGTCCAACTTGCCGCTCTGGAGTTAGATTGGTGAAGTTCGTGCAGAAAGCACCGCGCACAACATCAATTTGCATGCGCAACAACTTTGAGTTAAGTTATTTTAATTGGTTTACTTAACTTATTTAAATTTAGTTAAGTTTTCAGTTCATTATTATGTTAAATAATTTAATTTTAGTTTCAGATTATTTTTAAAGAAAGTCAGTTTAGTTTACTGTAGCTTACTTTTTTAGTTCGTTGATTTTAGTGTAAGTTGGTTATTTTTAATTTAGTTATTTCCCAATATTTTCATAATTGCAAATTGTAATAGCGGCACACTTGTTGACAACATTGGGCATTTAAATAACTATTCCTGCTTTTTCTTCTTTCACTTATTCATTTTTTATTAATACTTCCTTTCCTTTTTATTGCCCAGACTGTATAGTCTTTATTTCACCCTGTCCTCTATTACAGAAGGATGGGGCTTTCGCGTGCTGGTCTGGGACCTAAACTAGGATTCTACCTCGAGACCTACTGACGAAGCATTGCCACTCTGTAGAACAAAATCGGAAAACAAATGCCGGCTACCCATCGATCCCCCGCAGCATGAAGACCAATAAAATTCTAATCGACAGGGTTTGACAAGTTGTTGGAGGGGGGCGGGCGGTCGCGCGGTGCTCAAGAGACGCTACGCGACAAGACTAACCTCTAGGGCCTCCTCCAGGGTATGCGGCAGAGGCGGAAAGTCGCCGGAAGACTGCGGCGACCCAGACGACGCCTGCGCAGTAAAGGAGAAGCGGTTCCCCTGCACTGGAGGTGCTGAGAAGGGAGACAGTTCAATGTCCAGACTGGTGGCGGCGTCGAAGGTGTGTGCTTGGTGAGATAAATGTAGCCTGTGATCCATCTCCTCGGCCAACCGGCCGTAGAGGTGGGAGGGTGTGGTGGGCAGCTCAGGCAGGGGATAGCTCGCAGAGTCAAAAGAGGAAGAGAGGTCGAGGGTTAGGGTGCCGTCGGAGAGGCGATTCTGTTGGTGAAGAAAGAAAGGTGGATGAAGCGACGATGTTAAGGGGAAAAGCTCATAGGAGGGCCTTAAAATAAACGAGAATGGACAACCGCCAAGGCACGTCTGACAGCCCGGAAACAAATAAACTGGCCGCACTCATAAGGGCACATTCGAAGCCAGCGTCAAAACGCACCTACGAGGTGTGAACTTATTTGCACTTGCGAATACGCATTTCTATATATTCTATTAAGACTGTTGACGTACATAAATTGTTGCT